ATGGGCGTCTCAAAACCGTGCTTTTTTCAGGGGCGTAGAAGTTGGTAAGAAAAACAACCAATTCAAAATCTTCACCAATTATGACTTTAAAAAATTTTTTTCTCACACAAAACTTAGCTTATTATGAGTAGAAAATGCTTACAAAAGCTGTTGTTCGAAAATGGTGCATTTTAGAGGGTAAGTTGATAGAAACTTTTTTTCAAATTTTTGGGCATCCTTATGCCTTTATCACATCCTGCGCATATATTACGAAACAGCCTGTATACAGTCGTACATGTTTCTGGAATTATATTCCCATCTTTAGCGACAAGCTGTTAAAATAATGAAAATCAAATTAAAATATTATTTACGGTAACATTTAAAAATCAATTAACCAAATTATAAATGAAATGTGAACTTTGAACAATTAAAAAAAATTTTTATAAAAGAAAGACTAAAAAAAGAAAAAGATATATATAATAGAAAAAGAGAAAAGGGAACTCACCATCAGGAACCGTAAGAAAGATTTCAAACCAAATAGAACAATTAAAAAAACATTATTCTGAAGAAAAAACCAAGTCATGTTAAATTGAAAATCAGATTGTAATAAAATTTAAATGGCGTCATAAATCACATCAAATCTAAGGAAAAATTGAAAATAAAATTAATTATAATAGAGAATAAATGAAAGAAAGTCTTACCTATAAAAGGGTACAATTAACAAATCAAGTTTTTTAAAAAATAAATATTAAGTGGTAAAACATTAAAATTGGTTTGTTTCTATTGCTTTCTGCGGAAATAAAGTTAAAAGGAATGGATTTGTAAATTGAGGTATTTATTGTTTTAATGTATAATGTATCCTTCTGTTGCTGAATTCTAATTGTAAGTTTGTCTATAATTTCTTTTGGGAAACGATTATTTTTTGCTAAATTATATATATAATTAAATTCCGCATTTCTATTTTCATCAGATAAAAGATAATTCAAACATCTATTAGTAAGGAATCTGAAATTCGTGATTTAATGGATGAGCAGAATTAAAAGGTATTGTAGAAGGAACCATTGTAGGTTTTCTAAAAATATCATACGTTATACTTTCATCTGTCCCATTAATCTTTAGATCTAAAAAATTTATACTTTTTTCTATTTCCATCTCATAAGTAAAATTAAGTTGTTAGGATGAAAATTATTAAGAAATTCAATAAATTTAACAATCGAATTTTCGAATTTTGAAATGTTATTTCTAAAAGGATTAGTATTATTCATTATAAAATTATTTTCTATGTGATTTAAAAAAATATCTGACAATAAACCGGACAAATGATAAAAATGATGAAAATATTCATTATTAAATGAACAATAATTTTGTGTAACTAAATGTTCAAGTAAAATGTTTAAATTTTTGACTGTATTTTTATTATTAAAATAATCATTAAATATATTGTATACTAAATTTAAAGTTAGTGACAACAAAGGAGACTAAAATTTTATTTTTGTAATTAAGTGTTTTAGTTTTATTTATGAAGCTAAAAGAATTGAATATGTAGGTTTAAAATCTATTTTCTTAAAAATTGTCATTAAAAATTCGCCTATCTTTGTTGTTGGTGATGAATTAAAACAAGTATGTCTGATTGAAACAAGTCTGATAGGTATGTCAGGTTTATGCATCTTAATTCCCGAAACATGTCCGACTGTATATTTAAATAAAGCAAGTAGAAGTTATTTTATTAGTTAGTTTTATGGTTGTTTTCCGTAATGTGCCTAAAAAACCCTGAATTAGTTTTTGAAGTATATCCTCTTTATAACTTGTTTTTAGATTTCTGCCTGTTTGGCCTATATATAAAACATGTCACAATCATCACACTGAATCTTATGTATACACCGCTTTTCTCCCAATATTAAAATTTGTGTTTGTTATTAATTAACGAGTGTCATATGTTGTTATTGGATTTAAAAGGGGGCGTTATATTATTTTTTTTATATTTAAAATTATTTTCCAGATTAGGATGATAAGAAAATGTTATATATATATTGTTTCTTCACGTAGAATCTGGGAAATATGACGTTATTTACATTATTTCTATGTATTTTGTAGTATATGTTCTGTATTTCTGAGAAGTTATATCCATTATCTAATTCTAAACCTATTTTTATGATCTTCTTTAATTCAGTATTAAAGGAATTTTTGTCTAAGGGTGTATTGATTAAGTGATTGAATAAGAATCTGAAGGAAGCATTTTTATGTTGTTGACAATGAAAAGATTTCTTGGGGATAATGCAGTCGGTTGTTGTATCTTTTCTAAAGATGCTAAAGTTAAGTGAATTATTTCTAGAATTTTTATGAATCGTTATGTTTAAAAAGTTAATTTTATTTTTATTCTCGAGTTCAGTAGTGAATTTTAGGTTGCAAATGTTATTAAAGATATTATTTAAGGCATGAAATTTAACGGGATTACCGTTATAAATTATAAGCATATCGTCCACATATCGAAAAATACAATGTTATGTCTTTAGTGAAAGGGCTATATTTATCTAAAAAAAGTTTTTTGAACCCATTGGGAGTCGATCAGTCATATTGTAAAATTTATTATTAAATATGAAAAAAAATTTGATTGCAAATATGTTTTAAAATGTTTAGGAAACTATATATTTCAGTTAGTTGTAAGTTTAGTTTAAATTTATTAGTAGCTAAGAATTTTTCTATTATGGCGATGGTCTTAGAGGCTGATACATTTGTTTATAGGTTTTTGATATCAAAGAAGATAAGTGTATATTTTTTTCAATTTTTGTGTTTATTACATCTATTGAATTTTTAATGCAATATGTGAATTGATTTTTAAAATTGTGATATAATAACTGTTATATCTGTATTTATTGCTAATTATAGGTGTTAAGCTTTTATCGGGTTTGTGTAATTTAATAAGACTTTTTAAAGTAGGTGCTAAAGGATCATGAGTATTGAGTTATAACTCTTGATGTTTAATTTAGACAAGTTACATTCTTTAACAAGTTTCTTTAGTTTGGTGTAAACTTTTATAGTCGGGTTGTAATTAATTGAAGTAATATTGTTTTCTTTAAAAAATTTTTGGGTTTTTTCTATGTATTCGTTTTTATTCATAATGTCTATTAAAATTTATTTGTATAGATTTAAATTGTTTCTGAATATTTTTCTCTCTATTACTAGTTTGTATTCATTGTAGAACGACCTTGGCTTTAATTAGAGTGAGGAATGTATGGGTATATCATATTCATTCTAAACTGACAAACATACACGGTAGCGTCTCGGCCCCAAACGATCTTGGCTGAACTCAGAAGAGAAAATGTAGAAAAGTATTTTCGATTAAGTCAAGGTCGCTTGTGGCCGATGCTCTACAATTAATATCATATCTATCCGAAACTGATCAACACATTACTGTGTTTCCATCGCAATCTACATCGACTTATTATAATTAAAGTGCAAAATACACGATTTCACTTTATTAAGCCGAGGCCATATTACTTACATATTCTTATTTAACTTATTAACACAAACTTCAGCGATTTTATTCGAATAAACCGAGGTCGCTTGTAGCTAAGATATTGTTATTATTGCCATATTTATCCAAAACTTGTTAACACAAATTTCATCGCTTCAGCTCAACTCAGAACAGATAATGTAGGTTTTTCACGATTAATCCTCAGATTTAATTAAAATGGAAAATGTGAATTAGAATGAAAAACTTTTATTTTCACTTAGCAATTTGATAGATGATCCTAAAGGGATGATACGAGACTGATTACACAGAAACCTATAATTTGTGTTCAAACATCGGCTAAAGCCTTAGGTCATTCATTTAACTAGTAATGGTCCAAAACTCAATCAGCGATTAAAATAGACTGGGTTATAAATATTTTCTTAAATTCGCGTCTCATTTCAAGTGTTGTTTGTATAGCAAAGCTTTTCAAGCAATCAACATATCTTTAGCTTTGATGATATTTAATTAACCACTTTATAGGTTTTTGGGATTTTACTTTACAAGAATTGGGTGCCCCATTACCTATCGCTTTCAGAGTCTCAGCAATGATAGAAGAGGTTTTTCGCGACATTTTGGTTTACTAGGGCTTCATCCCTGGTGTTGTCGTAATTAATATTGAAGTCCATTTTAACCAGTTTTCAATTAAAATGTTAAGAATGAAAATTGTAAAAAATTGCATTTACTGGTTAATAAAATATTCTGTATTAAACATAATATGTCTCGAAAATTATAACAATTTGAAAAAGGAATAATAATAATAAAAATTTTGAATTAACATTAAAAACTTAAAATATCACAATTATAACGGGTACATTTTTAAGAGACTCTCATTTTTGGTATGGTTCTTTTTGCTACGTGTCAAAAAATGTCTTTATAACTTATCTTATATTATTTGTCGTTATAAAGACATATATAAAACTAAGTCAGGCGAAACATGTAAAAAATAAAGCAGACAGATTATGTTTAATACAGAATATTTTATTAACCAGTACAAGTGCAATTTGATTCATCATTCAATGGATATTGGTTTGTTGTTAGCTTTGATTTCCGTATCGTACAGAAATTATCGATGTTCAGCACGATAAGGACAATTTTAGAGGCTAGCTTCAGAATTTGATGCCATCTGGAGACAGTTTTCTCAATCAAATGATTCTATCAATATTTTCTTGTTAATTTCTCTTGGTTAGTATTCTAATTGGTCCACTTTCTTTCATAAATTTCGGCTATTCTTGCACTATATTTTTAAGTCTTTAATTTGATGGTGTTTAAGATGGTGTTTAAGTAGGAAGTGATTACTTCATTATTTTATTATTGAATCATTTCTATTAAGGTTTATATCACATCCTAAAAAGAAAGCTTTAATTTTGTACATAATCTTCTTGTCAGTTCTTTGAATTAGTGACACAATGATGTTTTTAATTTTAATTTAATTTTGCTTGGATTACTTATTACAATAATTTTATTTGTAGCTTATCAAACATTTTATTAAGATTAAGTATTTACAATAAAATAAAATCGTATAAATATTAATAGTAATTTTTTCCATGATAATTTTTATTAATATTAGCAGGAACTTCTATAACAGTTGTAACAACATGTAAGCGAATTGGTCCATCTTTCCTTTCATTTGGTTCTAAAATACTTTTTGTCATTAAAACAACACCTAAAAAAATTGAAGAAATTATAAATAAATCTTATTATTATTAATTAATAAAATCTTATTTACCTCTTTTACCTACACAAGATATAAGCGACCTCATCGCATCTTTGTTTTCTGTAATGACGCTATTTTTAACGCACTTCAATGTGTTTTCAGGGCAGATTAACCCATGACAATCACGTGAACTATAATCTTTAAATGATAACCGATTTTAATTTACATTTATTTTTATTCAATGGTATTAAAAATTACTTACTTTGTCTTATGTAAGGTGACGACGACACGTTTAAAATTTGTAAAACCACTAATATTCCGATAATTGTTGAAGTATTCATTCTAAGAGATTACTTATTTAGATTTGTTTATAGTACACTTGCAAAATTAACTGGTGCAATTACGAAAGAAGTTTGCCCCAATATATATTCGCGTAACTTTTTAATTTCGAACCTGATAAAATATCCGATAAATACGCGAAGTGTTTGCATCATTTTCAACGAACGAATACATTGCGAACACTCTGAAGAAGAATGAATGCGTTGATGATTCAGAAGAAGGATTTTATTAATCGGCTTGCTTATTATCTAATTTTTATAATCACGTGGTGCGTATGATTGTTGTTATAATTGACACAAGAAATAATAGTATCAAAGAATTAAGGATTCTAATCGTATTTGAGCAATAACAAATTTAAAAAAAAACAAAATTTTATTATTTTGAAATGATTCTATTTATGGTTAATGTTATTTTATTCGTTGATCTTGACCTTAAATTTACACCAAGTAAACATCTGATTCTATTTATATTTTTTTCTTTTTAGTTTCCTAATAAAATTGTTCTTATAGTTTAAGCAAAATCTTGAATCAAAGTAAATATTTATTTACACCTGCTAAAATTTATTATCACCCTTAAATTTCCGATCTAATTTAACGCCAAATTTCCAGCTTTTGTAACAAAGAAACATTAGACAGGGGTCTCGACGTAAATACGTAGAACAATCTCGCACAGCGACAAGTGACCCCCATTTTGGACTTGGGGGCGACGACTTTCAGCATTAGACCCCCGGTAAATGGGGTGTCACCGTTGCGTCAAACGCGACACGCAGCTGTTTCCAATTTGTCACGGCCTTACGTCCTCAGAGCAGACCGACTTCGCCCATTATCGCGTAGCGAATTCTAATCGGATCCGGGACAATACTCCGGATCACCTGTAAACCCGAAACTATTGCTCCCCCAACATTGAATCGTAAAGAGAGGATACGCAAAAACGAATAGCGTACGATTATTTTCACCCATTTCATAGTGTCACGGTTCAATTTTTGCTTCTTTTTTTTTGGAAATACACAAAAACCCAACTTTTTTATTTATTCTTTTTGTGGTTAATCATGCGGTTATATAATGGCTTTGAGTTTCCTTTTAATCAATAACTTACTATTATTCAACAAAATTTCAGTTTCATATTTACAAGAACTCGATGCTGAATTAATTACCACAGCATACAATTTTTTAGTGTACTATCTCACTATATTCATGATCTTTCCCTATCAAATTTACTTTGCTAATCAAAAATTACCTTTTGGATTAAGGTTTTAATGATGTTGGTTCTATAACTTTTTTGAGATAATGTGTTGCTCACGCTGCCTTATTGACGGTGTTCTTGGTTATGCTGTTTCTCATTAGGAGATCCACCTCGCCTCCTGAAATCTAGCACAGTCGAAAACCCTCAACCAACTATTTCTTGTAGGGAGCTTCCGAAGCAACTATGACCAGCAATCTCTTGTCTTATGTAACTTGTGTTGTGATGTATTATGTCTGTGGAAGAGCCTTTATTTTTCCATCCTGACATGTTTTTATAAGTACACTAGTACTGCAGGGAATTTCTACCTTCTTGTCTGTGATGTCTCTATCATCTTACATGGTTGCTGTATATTTGTAATTTCTTTATTTTCTAGTCCTTGCCATCTCCCACGTCAAAATGTTTAGGTATGTCTATTCTACAAAGTCACCGATCGTGTATGCCGCCATTGGTGGTGCAATAACTGGATGTGATCACGATCGTATATATTTGTTGAATCGTTCGAATTACATTGATCTATCTTTTGTGTCTCATTCTACTACAAGGAGAATAGCGGGAAGAGTGTAGGGCACCGTTTCTTAAACTTTTTGATGAATGGAACCCTTTTTAATGACCACATTTATCGTGTTATCATTCAATAATTAGAGTTATTTTAAACAATATTTATTTGTTTCAAAAAGTACTTTTAAAATTAATATAAAAGTTATTAAAATAACGTTTAATAGGAAGAGTGGCACTTTTTATTACCGCAGATATACTTAATATTAGGCTTTATGGATGAAAGTTGAATTCTCATGTCAGGTTGCTGTCAAGTTTGTTGCGATATTTATTTTTTGTCGACACATAAGCTGAGAATCGTATTTGACACATATATGTAATAGGTAAAAGTGCCAAAACGCCCTTTTGCGACAATTGAGGATATTCATCTTTCAAACTGCACCAAAATTACACTAACGGTATTGATTTAAATTTTTCCTGCAACGATGAATGAGACGTCATTTCAATCAAAGTTTCATATTTTTTTGGCGACATGGTTGAAGGTCGTGTATTGATAATGAATGGATTTTTAATCCACAGTTCTTGTTGATATTTAATCTACCTGTAATTCGGAAAATATTTATGAAAAGCTTCACTCAAATCTTTCAGGTGTTGAAGAACTTCTTCAATAAATGTCTGCTGTATTTCAATCTTCTCATCTTCCAAAAAGTCTTTTATAGTTGGGAAGCTATCATATTCATTGGAGCGCACACAAATTATCCAAAATTCTATCTTTTCTTGAAAGCAAGATTTTTTTCGGTAGCAGTAAATACATTTACCTATTTGCTATGAAGTATTAAATTAAGATTATTGAAAAATAAGTAATCAGCCAATAGGCAGCCAATTCGAAATTATGTTCTAAAAAAGCACGTACTTCGTCTCTTAGTTTAAACAAAACCGGTTAGTATCTTTCCTCGTGACAACCATCTGACTTCAGTATGTACAGAAGAGATATTGAATAAACGTTAATGATTTTGACCACATCATCAACGAGCCTTCTTATAACTGGGGGATAATTTCTTTGCAGCAAGTGCCTGCCTATGAAGCATACAGTGACTGCTAGAACAGTTTTTGGCGATATTTTTAATAAGCTGTACAGCCCCATTAATTGTGCCACTTATGTTTTTGCTCTATCAGTAGTATAGATAGATCTGTACAGATTCTGTACATTGTGTTCAAGAAAAGAATTTAAGAGTCTAAATATTTCTAGTCCAGTAGTATGTGTTGGTAGAGATTTGCATAACAGAAGATCCTCTGATATTGCGTTTTCATGCTGGTACCTAACGATGACAATTAATATTCCGAGCCCAGCTACATCGGTAGATTCGTCCATTTGTAGTGCAAATTTGCATGATTTCAGGCGAAAAGTAAGTTCATTCATTATATTGGTTGCTAAATTTCTGATGCGCTGAGCTGTCGTGTGATTTGATAGTCTTACCTATTTCTTCTGCTGATTTTTCATGTAACATACATTTTGCCATCTCCATATCGCAAGGTTTTATTAGATTTTCCGCAATTGAGTAGGCTTCACTGCGTTGAGTTATTTGATAACTGACCAAGTAAGAAGCCTCAGTTGCTTTTTCATTAATCGTTTTTGTGGTTTGAACCATAAATGTTTTTAATTTCACAAGTTCGTCACACTTTCGCTTGAAAAATTCAACATTTTTTTTAAGGTTTCCATGAATAGATTCCATATGTCGACGCATCTTAGCCATAGAGCTATTTGGAAGAACTTTGCTGCATATAACGCACTGCGGATTAGCATTACTGTTCATAAATCTTTTATCATACCTCCTATGTTTTTTAGTAACTATTTTAGATTCAACACTTGTAGAAGCACTTATAACTGGCTTATTTTCTTTTGGGGCCATTTGATTTGTATCGGTGCCATTGTTTTCAAGACTAGCTTTTTAACAGCTAGACGTTGAAGCTGATATTATGTAAAAAGTATCACGTACGATTCACGGAACCCTTGACTGTTTTCCACGGAACCCTTGACTGTTTTCCACGGAACCCCAGGGTTCAGCGGAACACAGTTTAAGAAACGCTGGTGTAGAGGATCACAAAGCTGATTGTGGACGATAGCGCTATTTTCTTCCAGTACGAGGATCTACTGACTCTAGACATCAATATGGATCTGAATCTTTCAGAAATTGTTTTTAGGTCTGCTGTCATTTTGAGATCTTTGTCCAGAATGACACCCAGATATCTTACACATTTTGCATTGGAGACAATTGTATCACCCACTTATAGCACTTCATTAAGTTTTCTTCTATCTGTCATATAGATATTATGCAACTGTTTTGATGGCAAACTCGGCTTTGTCTATTATTACTTTCTTTCAATACTATTGCGAGATCTTTCGCGTAGTCCACCACCCTAACCCCATAGGTTCCACATTGTGTTTCCAAACTACAGATACTCTCTGTTTAGAAGAATTGTTGATGCGGCTCTTGTTTATTCTAGGACGTTCTTTACCTTACTCTAGGGGACTACGTTGAACGCGTTTTTCCCTTCCAGTACGTAAACTGAAAATCACTTGTGACGTCAGCGGTACGGCCATTTCTAGGTCGGTGAGCCTATAATTGTTTGATAGTAGTCATATTTGGAATATCCTGGAACCTCATGATAAACATCATACCATAACATTGACGTTGAGACCTTGAGGACGTAGAATAACCGAGACGTTGACTTCAAAAACGTTCATGGTTAAGATCGCACCGCATAACCTTTACCTTAAGATCGAGATTAACCACAAACCTTAACCTCCTAATCAAAATCAGTACCTCTACTTTAATCTTTACTCCTTCTCTATGTAATACTACGCTTTTGGTTTACAGTTTACTTTGTCATTTTGTATTCTCAGCAGTTTGTTTCACCAGTTTGAGTTTTCAAAGTAATCTCTTAGTTGATTTGAGATAGTTAAAGAAGAAATAATTGACATGGAAGGGTATAATATTCCTCATTTTGAGGTGAGGAAATTTTGTCTGCTGGAGATTTGAAATTACTTCTTTAAGGTGCAAGCATGTTTGACATGCAGCATATTTCCTGGAACATACCCACCGCAGATTATCGTACAATAGTGCTTTGTTAATGGAAACAGAAAGGCTGAAAAACGAAGGGGGATCAGAAAAGATAATATTACTGAAAGTGATTGAGGGAAATCAAAATTCATCTTTGACGGGTGATGCCAAAGGAAAAGTTTGCTGTTGAGAATAACAGATTTGCCATTCCAGATGCGTGATGCGTCACAAGCAATATATGCACATTATAAAGCTGTCGTCTTATATTTTATAGGGTGATTCTCAACACCTCATGCTGCTACCGAGACAATCTGCCAACACCCTGGTTCAGGCCGAGCCAGTGTATAGAAAATATCGCAAATAACTTGAAAAACTTGCTGTGATTGTATTT